TATATATTTTTTTTGGTATTTGGTACAGGGTCTACAGAGTTTTACTACATAGATTGCACTCTTAGTGATTCTCCTGTTTTCAGCCTCCCAACTGCTGGGATTATAGGCACATGCCACTGCATGCCACCATGCCTAATCTCAAGTGCTGTCTCAGCATGCCCCTGGGTTAGGGTTGGTACAGCAGGCCAAGTATCGAACCCCAGTAGCTGCGCTCTGCCTAAGCAGATGCTTTAGTCTGCTGAGCTTTCTGGCTGGCCAGTTTTGTTGGTCTGTTTTGTTTTGTTTTTTGAGACTTAATATGTGGTCCAGGCTGGCCTTGAACTTGCAGTAATTCTACTTCAGCCTCTCTCAAGTGCTGGGATTACAGGTGTGCGCCACCATACTCAGCCTAACAGTACTTTTTTTAGGGAGGGGGTTCTTTTTGAAGAGAGGATTTCACTGTGTAGTTCAGGTTGGCCTTGACCTCACTTTGTAGCCGAATCTGCCCTTGAATTTGCATCAGTCCACCTGCCTCAATTTTGCTGGCGTTATAGGTGGGCACCACCATGCCCAGATTCTGACGGTACTTTTAATCCTGGCTTAATGCTAGGAATATAAAAAAAATTCAGTGAAATGTGACCTAATGTGGCAGAGATTTAAGGGGTGTGCCAAAGAATACTATTTTTTATGCTATATTTATATCATTTGTTGTGCTAATAAATTCTACCATAATAGGAACAGTTATTATTCAGATTTTTCTATGTTACAAGTTAATTTAAAAAAAAAAAAAATACTGTTGATACCAGTCTGGTCGATTCCCATGGGTCATGCGTTGATCTCTTCACAATAAAGGTGCTAATAAGCTGTGTACCATTCTTTTAGACTGGAGGATGACTGCAGAAACCTGAGCGAGTGGTTGATTAATCAAGAAGAGAAATGGAAAGAAACCGAACACTCAGGAGAGAAAGCTGAGCTGTTTTGCCAGGCTCTAGCTAGAGAGAGGTAGCGTGCTCTTGTGGGAGAGGAGCTATTCCTTAGGAATGTGATTACTTTCATTAGGTCTCAGTGTGGCTCTTGTAAACTTGTTTTCAGTGGCTTTTTGGGCTTTACAGGGAGCAGTTTGAATCCGTGGCCCACTTGAGCAACTTTATGAAGGAACATGGACTTACTGAGGAGGAAGCAGCAATCATGGAGTCAACCCATTTGATGGACAGATACCGGACATTACTGGCACAGTGCAGTGGAATTGAGGAAGAGCATAAGTTAGCGTCTGTGGAGGGCCAGAGCTTTCACGATCTTGCACGTGATGTAATTCATTGGATAAAGGAGATTAAAGAGTCGCTTATGGCTTTGAATTCCTCCGAAGGCAAAATGCCACTTGAAGAAAGAATCCAAAAAATAAAGGTATAACCAGAAAGTAAATTTGAGAGGTCAGAGTGAACTCTCATTTTGAAAAGATTTACCACAAAGCTGCAAAGATTTATTTCTTAATGGAAAATAGGATTGCTGAGGAATAGCTAAAGAAATTCAGATCATGAAACTCACAAAAGAGAGGGCTTGTGATAGGTCTAAAATTATTTCAATGCACACCAAAGAGTTTGTCTTCTCTTTGAGAGGGCAGAACTCAGTTATTGTCTATGTTCACTGCAGGCAGAAAGATGGAAATACAGACTGAGTTGGAGCCATAGTGGGTGGGGACTTGCTAGGGACATAGGCAATATCTTGATCAAGAACAGAAAAGAACCTTTGGAGTCCAGTATGAAACTCCTGCTCCCAGGTTCCCTCATCTGTCCAAGTGGAGGATTGCTGAACATTGCCAGTGATAAATACAGGGGATAGATGCACATGGGCCTATGGAAATCACAAGTAAAGCATTACTGAAGGGAAGATCAAGGAGAGTGAGCTAGAAGCATTGATTCTAGCTGATAACTCAATTTATCAGGCTCCTTTGAGATTATGTCTATAAACATTTCCAGAGAGAAAGTAAACCTTGAGTTGTTTTCCTAGCACAGGAAGAACTTAATTGAAACACAAAAGAGAAAAAGAAAAACAGAAAACAAGAATTAATTGTCATGGATGATAGACAAGTTATATAAAGAATGCTGTTTTCCTACAGGAAGCCATCATCTGTTCTTGCATCTACAAAAATGTCTTGTGTACAATGCTACTTTTAGACAGAAGTACATAGTAAGGAGGATTTGACTGGTGTTTTTGGCATGTGAAAACAAGAGGGTGATTGGAAATCAAAAGGCAAGCAGAAAGTCAGATGCAGCAGCATATACCTGTAATAATTCACACTTATGAGTCTGAGGCCCTTGGGTTTGGGCCAACCTAGACTAAACAGGAAGATTGTTGAATCAAAAACAAAAGCAAGGGCCAGGGAAATGGCTCAGTAGAATAAGTGCTTGCCTGGCAAGCACAAGGGCCTGAGTTCAATCCCTGGTTCCACAAAAAAAAAAGCAAGCAGGAGTACAGGCGACTTACACTGACCAGCATCTGTTGTGAATCAGCCCCATGTAATATCAAGGGGCAGATCCTTGTCTTTGGGCCCTGTGGAAGAAAGGGTTCTTTTGACATGTACTCTGCAGTATGAATGTCAATATAAAGGCTAAAAATGAAAAGATGCCGTATGTAATATACCCTAAGCGAAACAAATGGGATGATAAGATCTTTTTCATTTTAGGAAATCATTTTACTCAAGCCCGAAGGGGACGCCAGAATACAGGCCATCGTGAGACAGGCCCAGGGCTGTGAGGCGGCAGTGCAGGGTCAGGAGATGGTGGCCGACATCCGAGGGCAGTGGGACAGCACGCTGCACTTGGCCAGCACATACCTGAGGTAAAGGGTGGCTTGCCCAACACTTGCTCCTCCTTGTTACCCGGCAAAGCTATAACAAGTGTGTTTTGGCTGCTGCCTGGGTTTAGATAAAGTTCTTGTCGGAGGGAAATCTGGGAGTTGGGGCGTCCACAGGGCACTAGGCCTTCACATCATGTAGGGGCTCCACTGTGACGCTGTGGCTTCTTGGGGACACACTGAGTCTCCCCCTACCGGCACCCCCTGCTTCTGTACCCAAGTCCCTTCCTCCCCAGCAACCCCAGCATCTGCACGGTATCACCCTAGAACCCTGAATGCTTCCTGACATTTTTCCTAAGGAATTATTAAATGGGTAAACATGGACAAGTGCTGGCCAAATCCTACAACCGGGTTTATTAAGTAGTACACTTTGCTTTGAAATGGAACTCTTATGTTTTTCTAAGGAGATAAGAAGATCACAACAAATTTAAATGATTTAAAGCCTAAGTCAATTACTTAATATATAGAATGCTTATTTTTGAAAAAGTAAAGCTATAAGCTTTTGTATTTAAAGATTTTTAAAACTATTAGGACTTCTTTGAAATTAAATTACTGAGCATTCTTTGGTCAGACTATATAACAAAGTATTATGTGGTAGTAATACTCGGATTCTATCTTGATTTCTGAGCTAAGTGTGGTCCTGCTAAAATCTTACGGTGCCACAAGGCTCTCTAGGGAAAATGTATATTAGTATGATTTTAATGCTGTTTATTATGTTGTGTGCTGCATTACGATATGCAAAGTGTCCTCTACTTTGCTGAAATCTCATTTATAAACTATTTGGTGAAATTCAGCCACCAAGAGAAGCTTGTGCAAGAAGGAGAGAAATACCTGCAGAGTAAAGAGGACCTGAGGTTAATGCTCATCGAGCTCAAGAAGAAGCAGGAGGCCGGCTTCGCCCTGCAGCACGGCCTGCAGGAGAAGAAAGCCCAGCTAAAAATTTATAAGAAATTCCTCCAGAAAGCCCAAGATTTAACGTCCTTGCTAAAGGAGTTAAAAGCGCAAGGAAACTACCTGTTGGAATGCACAAAGAATCCCAGCTTTAGCGAAGAGCCATGGCTGGAAATTAAAGATCTTCATGAAAGTCTGCTTCAGCAACTGCAGGTGAAGTGGACAAGCTGTTTTACTTTTTGTATCTTTTAAATATTTTATTTTTCATATTTATTTATTTGGTACAGGGTCTTGCTATGCATCTCAGACTCATAGTGATCCTCCTGTCTCAGCCTCCCCAGCAATGGGATTACGAGTGTGTACCACCATGCCTGATTTTGGTGACTGGTGTGGTGCGCCTGGGGATCTGGGGCTGGCACAGCATGCAGTACCAGGCATCAAATCCGGGTCCTAGTGCTTGCCAGGAAGGTGCTTAGACCGCTGAGCTGTCTCCTCGGCCTACAAGCTCTGTTTTAAATGATTACTACTGTTACTATGCCAGATGTGTCTATAAAACCCCTTCTTGGCTGTTGCTCAATGGATCAGCCAAAAGCTTTCAAAATCCATCATTTTTACATGAAAATGCAGACCCCTGCAGTCAGTGTTGCTGGAGGAGTCCAAGTGTGGTATTTCATGATGGCCTCGTTTCCTTCCATTAAAGTTCCTTCTTCAGGACTGGATGGGTCACGATTCTTAAGGCATCTGTATACGCTGACCGTATTGGTGATGTCTGTCTGTCCATCCATCCACCCCCTGCCCACTGTATGATGTTTTCCTTATCTTCTACTCGGTGCCCCTCCCATGAATCTTTCCACGTGGGCTGCAGTGAGAGAGCGGAGACAAAAGCTTGTGAGGAGAAGGTAAATTCTTTTATTAGGAGTATTTAGGATGATTTTCACATTGGAAGCCAGTTTTGGGACAAAGACCACCAGGGTAAAAAGCCCTGCACATGTAGGTACTGAGTGTTGAGCAAGGGTAAAGATGCATTCACATGGCTGTGTGCTGTTTGGTTGTCTTATTTTCTTATCCCAGCTCAGGAACCTAAAGGTAGTTTTGCTCTTGAGTTAGGCTTGCGTCTTTCCTAACACACAACATTTGGGCTCAGGTCCTAGGAAGGGGAGCTGGGGTTAGGTTGATCTCATCCCGTCTCATTTCTTTCTTTCTTTCTTTTTTTTTTTTTTTTTTTTTTTTTTTTTTTTTTTGGGGGGGGGCGGAACTGGGGATAGAACTCAGGCCCTTGTGCTTGTCAGGCAAGCGCTTATTCTACTGAGCCATCTCCCTGGCTGCTCCAGTCTTATTTCTAAGGGTGAATTCTTGATTTTAAAGCAACAGGTAATTAAGGGGCCTGATTTATGACAGATGTTTGTGATCTGACGGTGTAATTTGTAATCATTTCACTTCATTTTGAAAACTCTTGACAAATACATTTTCTTTAGGAAGGAAATGAAGGTACATGCGTGGGAGGAACAGTTAAGGAGTCATTTTTTACAGTGAAAGATCTCAGACACTAAGTTCTTCAGTTAAGAATTCTGGATAAACTTTGGACATACTCTTATTTCAAGATAAAACCTTATAAATTGAGCAAACCCCCCCCCCATTTTATCTCTTTTTTTTGTTGGGGGGGGGTAACCAGGATTGAACTCAGGACCTTATGCTTGCCAGGCAGGTGCTTAATCCACTGAACTATCTCTCCAACCCCTTTTTGTCTTTTTGAGACAGGGTCTCGCTATTCAGTTCATGATAGCCTTGAGCTCACTTTTGTAGCCCAGGCTGCCCTCAAACTTGCAACAATCCTGCCTCAGCCTCCTGACTGCCGCAATTACATTTGTTACACCCAGCTTATTGAGCCTTTGAGTTGTGTAATTATGAATTTTAAGAGCATGTGAAAATTCAAGAGAGCAATGAGTTTGTGAGTTGTCAATGGTTTTATTTCCAGGATTCTGTGCAGACACTGGAGGGCCACGTTCAGGATCACCACTCCTACCAGGTTTGCGTCACAGACTTGAATACCACCTTGAACAGTTTCTCTAAGGACTTGGTCAGCTTTTCTGAAACACCTGTGGACCGAGCAGCCATTGAGGACAGACTGCAGAAACTGCAGGTATTACATAATATCTAGACATACCAGCTAGAGCTTGAAAAAAAAATTAGTGTTCGTTATAGTTTGATCGATCACTATCTTTGGTCCGAAACATGAGTGCTGTTCCGATGGTTCCGATCCTTAAAGCGCTAAGTGCTCATGAAGGAGGGGAACGTTTTTCTCTAGTGCCCAGCTGTGCCTGCAGTTTGAGTTGAGCAGAACTTAGACGCAGCGGGTGTTTCTTGGAGAACATTCTCCCTGTGATTGGTCCTTAGGCTGGGATGTCTCACTTCCAGCTAACACAAGTCAATTCCAGGGAATAAGAAGGGGCCAGAGGGTGTGTGGGGCCTAAACAGCCTTGGGAAAAATGGTTCAGTGTAACATTTTTCATTGTGGCTGGGGAGATGCTGTCTAATTTCTACCATATTAGTGCTCACTCTGGGGGACTAACTGAAAGCTCTCCCGAAGGTAGGGTCTCTGAACCCCTCACACTGCCTTCTGCACGATGACAAGCGTGGCCTTCTTGTGTTATCCTGTCCATATGGTCAACATGGCAGGTCAGAGTGGCGTCCTCTGTTCAGAGACAGAGCAAAGCGTTTTCTCTGCTCCTCCTGTCCCGGTTCCTTGTCTGGAGAGTTCGATGGTGACCCCACGACTCAGCGTGGGCTTGGGCTTTCTTTCTGTTCCCTGTTCAGGACATGAGCATCAGCGGGCTTCTCTAGTGCAGCTGTGGATTGCCACAGGGCGCCACCCTGCTTGGCAGCAGTAATTGGGCCAATGTGGAGGGCTCCTCACGTGCCGGGTGCTGGGTAGGTACCACCAGTGCTGGGAGAAGTGTGAGGCCTGGCCTGTGCCTGGAGGAGCTCAAGCCCCTGTTGACAAGTCAGGGCACAGCCTTCTGCTGTAGCTGGAAAGGGGGTCGCAGGTCACAACCCTCACCAAGGTCACACAGGGCAAATGACAGCGAGTTGCTTGCCCCTGAGCCCTGGCTCACTCTGTGAGTGCCTTTTCTCTCTCCAGTGACATCGCTACTTGAATGTCACAATGATTTGCAGTTCTTTGTGGATAAATAGTAAAACACATTTTCTCTGTCCCCCAATTTCCCACCAAGCACCCTGCTCATACCTATATGTTGAAGTGATGAGTATCTTTTTCTTCAAGCTTCCTGCTTAGAAATCTGCTGTCCCTCCTTGAGCTCCCTAATGTAGGCAGATATAAGATGATGATGTCCCTCCCTCATCAGCCCATTGTTACTGCTTAAGGACCAGCCCTCATCTCCTACATCCCTGCATTGGGTTTGTGAACAGACTCCCTGTCTGCATCTTCATTCTCTCTGTTGCATATTTTTCATTATGGCTCTGGATCTTTCTAAAAGAGAGCTACTTTATTCCCCCTTAAAATGTTTCAATGACCTGTGCCTATTCATCAGTGTGAATCTTTTCATACTTCACTATGATTGTTGATAAATGTGTATTTCTGTATTACTAGACTATAGAGCTTAAAGGGGTTCGGTTTTACTCATTTATACTGTACGACACCAAAACCTATCAGCCCTTGGCTGTTGAATGAGTGATTGAATGAATGCATGAGTATTTATGTCCCTTTAGGTCAGTGACTATTAAATTTTATAGAGGCCATGTAGTAACTCAGACTTACTCCATTTCAACAGTTGAGACAGGGCTGTCACCCTCGAGTTCCTTTTGTGTCTAGAGTGTTCACACTAGCCCTACTGATGCATACATTGAGGACACTGTGATCGAATTCCTGCTGTTTGGGGTTGTGTACCTGGTTGATTTCTCTCATTGTCCACAAACCTGTGCTCTGAAGTTTGAATGTTAGCATTAGATTTGTATGGGCTTGTTACTTGTATGCGTGTGGGTATTTTTTTTAAAATTTATTTATTTTTATTTAGGACAGGGTGTACAGGGTCTCACTGCATAGATCAGACTCCTAGTGATCCTCCTGTTTACAGCCTCCCAAGAGCTGGGATTACAGGTGCACACCACCCTGCCCAGTCTTAATTGCCATCTCAGCTTGCCCTGGAGGTGGGGCCGGCACTGGGGATTGAACCCCAAGAGCCCCGTGCCTGCCTGCTGAGCTATTTGGCAGGCCTGCAAGTACTTATTTATAAAGAGTGTTTGCATTTATAAAGGCTGCGCCTGGGGCAAGATGGTCGACAGCTACCAGTTGACTATTTCCCACCGCGCTCTGAATATTTCCTGTGTCTCTTCTGAAATCTGCTTGAGAATCTGATGTACAGTGCTGTATTGATTTAAATTTTGCCCGGAGTTTTGTGTTACAGACTGATCACGCCTTCTAATGTGTTTCCACTTGTGAAACAGAATACTCTGTGATTTACAAAGGTCAATTAACTCTTTTGACAATCGAATGGGAATACTTTCTGTGACTATCTTTTTTCCACTCGTAGGAACTAGAGGATAGACTCCGTTTACAAGACAGCACATTAAAGAAGATTTTAGCATTAGCAGAATCCATCAAGCCAAACACATCTTCAGTGGGACAGAAGATTATTAAAGATGATATAACATCACTTAAGCATAAACAAAGAGATCTGGAAACCAGCATTGCTCTTGCGAAGCAGGAGACTGAAAATTGCCTCAACAGCCTTCTCAAAGCAAAACGTTCAACAGAAAAGCCAGAGAAGCCTGCGCCGCCCGACGGAGAGGCGCGGGCCACTTGTGGTGCGCTGGAGTCCTCTGGGGACTCTGCGGCCCAGGGAGAGCTGGAGGGAGGCTGCGCTGTAAACAAGGTAAGTGCTTGCGATTGTGCTTCCTGAGACGTCGGGTCTGAGAATGAAGAGGTGTTTGGTTCTGAAAAGAGGGCTGTGAATCAAGCGTTCTGATTTCATAATTAAATCCTCAATGTCCTGGTTATTTATGAAGCTCACTTGTGAAAAGAGTCCTTAGAAAAACGGTCCAGGTTTCAGCTGTGAAATGCCATTGTTCAGTCTGTTTGAAAGGTGGGCGTCAATTTAGCTTTATTCTCCTCACGGCTGTGTAATCCGATATATTTTCGCGGGTCAAGAGCACAGAGGCAAACTGGAAAAGGAAAAAGAAAAGCGGATAGGCTTCAGTCATTGCCTCAACACCACCACAAGTCCAAGCGCCCAGTTGTTGTGATTTGGGCCGGGGG